AGTAGTCAGGAGCAGAACGATGTGATCGCTCGGCTCCGAAACGAAAAGCTGAATATGCGCTGCATCTGCTGCCTACTTATACTCACGCTGTGATCAGCGGCAGCTGGATGCAATAATCGCATGCCAATGTGTATTGGCTCGTTTAGTTACTTGAAGTAGATTGGTCTCTCTAAGTGATATCCCAATTTGTCGGTCATCCGATGTGATGTCGAGAGGAAATTGTACATATTGTACCTTCAGTGTCAAAGTTACTGAACCATCATTAACTCACACATGACATTTAATGTCACAGCATCAGAGTATTTCTTTCCTAGTTCATTGATGGACTTGCACTTGTACTCTCCACTGTGATCAGAGCTGATGTTTGAGATGTTGTAGATTCTTCCAGATCCTACAATTGTTCCTCCTTTAAACCAGCTGATTTCTGCAGGAGGGTTTGAATCACTGCTGCAGCTCAGAGTCACTGAAACTCCCTCCACTATTTCACCAGATGGACTGATGGACACTGAGACACTCTTTGGTGGGTCTAAAAAAGACAAAAGTTATAATTTTTTTCCCAAGACATAAACTCAACAATTAATATACTAATGAATCTGTACTCACACGTGACACTGAGATAAACAGGAGGAGAGATGTAAGTGTGTTCATGTAGAGCACAGCTGTATCTGCCTGCATCCTCTCTTCTGACTGACTGCAGCAGGAGTTGATTGTTTCTGTCTCTTCTCTCAGTTAATGGCTGTGAGTTTCTGTACCAGATGAATGTTGCTCTGTCAGTCAGAGTGCAGCTGCTTTTACATGTCAGACGCACTGAATCTCCCTCTGTCACTCTCTCAGGAGCCTCCACCTGAAGATCTGAACACAACACACACATTATATCTAGTGCTGCTGTCATACACTGATTATTATTCAACATAATGCACAGAAGAAGAGAGAAATCTCATGAAAGTCACCTGTGACAGTAAGAGTCACTCCTGGATTACCGGTCCATTTTCCATCTGTTACATTAGTAGTGAATCTGAAATAGTACGTGTGTTCATCTTTCTGTGTCACATGACTCAGTCTGATGGTGCATTTCTGCTGTTTGTCTCCCAGATACTGAAGCCTCTGACTGTATTCAGGGTCCTCAGACAGATCTGGAGGCTCTACACCCTGTACAGGGTTTTTGGTCCAGAACGCTTTCTTGATCTTATATCCAGTAGGGTATGTATAAGTGCAGCTCATTATCACTGATGAGTCCTTTAGTGCACAGATGTGTGAATGTCTGTAATTCACAACCCAATTAGCACTAGAAACCCCTGAAACATAGAATTCATATAAATATCAGCAGCTTGTGCATCATGAAAGTTGGTGGGGAAATGCATGCAAAATCTTCAGTTTCTGAAGTGTTGCAGCGACTCACCGTGAATCAAGATCAGAAAGATCAGAGGAAGAGGAGGAGCCATTCTGACTGACATCAGCAACATCTACAACAACAAAACTAAAACAACAGTGGCATATTTCAGTTTTATTCATGTTTTTGTTTTTTTTTTCTTTGAAGATCATTGTGAAGTTGTCTTTATTTGTAATTTGTATAGGACAATATAATTATCACTGTCAGTCTAGGTGCTGCTGTTTGTTGAGGCTTAGTCATGTTAAGCATGCATGACCTATCTCACCTTCCTCTTCCTGTCCAGTGCAAATCAGTAGACAAATGCAGGCATTTTTTCTCTCTCAGTCTTTATTTTACAATATTGAGAGTGGTAGTAAAATAAAGACTGAGAGAGAATAAAATGCCTGCATTTGTCTACTGTTTTGCACTGGACAGGAAGAGGAAGGTGAGATAGGTCATGCATGCTTAACAAAGCTTAACCACAGAGGGTTTCTAAACCAGTCACACTGAGTCTGACTAAACCTCAACAAACAGCAGCACCTAGACTGACAGTGATAATTATATTGTCCTATAAAAATTCTGCTAAAACAAAGACAGTTTTAAAGACAAAGAGAATTTTAACTGCAGCTGTATTTACTCACTGAGCTGCCGGAGGATATACATACTGTATATATGAGGGGCCGTACAAGCCATAATTCATTCTGGCACTCTCACACACTTATATTCTCCTTACACATACAGTGGGTACGGAAAGTATTCAGACCCCCTTAAATTTTTCACTCTTTGTTATATTGCAGCCATTTGCTAAAATCATTTAAGTTAATTTTTTTCCTCATTAATGTACACA